GGATTTTCCATTAAGTTGCATTCAGACAACATAACGCACAAGCCATCAATATCATCATTTGTTTCAACCATATTTGCTTGACCCTTTTTTTTCTCTTTCTTTGGAGCACGACATTCTACAACTTTGTGTCCAAGCTTGCCACAGTTGTGGCAGTTTTTCTTGAATTACTTCTTCCTAGGATAGTTCTTTGGTCCAGAAGACTTCTTCCTCTTTTTCGAATTAGTTGGATCAGTCTCAACAATATTTGCTCCCATAATTGTTGAGTTTCCACGTGTCTTCTTTTCTGCAGCTTTATTGTCCTCTTCGATCCTCAATTGAACGATGAGATTTTCGAGTTTCATCTCTATGCGCTTGTGTTTCAAGTAGTTCTTAAAGTCCCTCCATAAAGGAGGCAACTTCTCAATCATTGCTGTAACTTGAAATGCCTTATTGATAACCTAACCTTCAATAAAAAATTCATAATTAGTAACAAAATTAATACTTTCAACAGAAGCATTAATTCAGATTATACCTTTAGCAAGAAGATCATGAATTATAACTTGCAACTCTTGAACTTGGGTAATGACATGCTTGCTGTCTACCATCTTATAGTCCAAAAATTTGGCTGCAACAAACTTCTTCAAATTGGCATCCTCAGTTTTATACTTCTTTTCTAACGCATCCCATAGTTCTTTCGAAATTTTCACATTACTATAGACGTTGTAAAGATCATCCTCCAGTCCGCTAAGAATGTAATTCTTGCATAAGAAATTTGAGTGCTTCCATGCCTCAGTCACAATAAAACATTCATTTCCAGGAGTTGATTCCGGCGGTACCGGAACGTCCTCCTTGAAGAACTTCTATAGACTCAAAGTAGGCAAATAGAAGAGCATCTTTTGTTTCCAAAGTTTGAAATCAATCCAGGAAATTTTTTCTAGCTTTTCCGCCGGAGTCGGTGGTGACACAGAACAACTGGAAGTAACAACATTACTCGTAGAACCAACCACGGGGGGATGGGGGGAGGGGTTCTGTTTCTGTCATTTCTGTTAGTCATACAACATAAACAAAATTAATTAACGACGAAGTATTTAAAATCTTCGAACCGAATAAACTTTAACAGAAACAGATTAAATACTACAGTGAAGATTTTATATCTTCAAACCGAATACACAACAAGTAGAAAATCACAAAGATTTTAATCTCGTAATTGAGTAGAAAGTCCCAAGAACTTTAATCTCAACCAAGGAGTAGAAATTTCGAAGATTTTATTCTCCAAAATGAGAGTAGAAATCACTAGGATTTAGTCTCTCACAAACAGAGTATAAGATGAATACAGAAAAAAAAATATTAAGTTCCTTAAGCTTGTTAGTATTCTATATTCAAAAACATAAATGAATTCATAGTGTTTTCTTAAGGAACTTAATTACCTCCTAGTACCCGAGGTTTAGGATTATTTTCTCCCAGGATAGAATAGATTACCCTCACTGGTGTAGTGGTACTTCAAACCCCAGTGGCTAACGAACTCAAAGAACAGTAGCAAATCATACTTACTGTTTTCTTTTATGTTAAAAAAAATTATGCAGAAGGAAGAAGGAGAAATAAGAATTTTCATAAGGAAAATCTGAGGAAAAGTTCGTGTATTTATAGCCAAAACATTGGGTAATACCGAAGAGTTGCAACTTTTCATGTAAGGCTGCAACTCAAAATTAACATTACAGAAACAGTTAATTTGGATAAAGTAATATTGTGTTAATATCTTGATATTAACAAATGAATTTAGTCCAAAAAATTAATCAATCAATTGACCGAACCCGAAGCCAAGCGACAACAACGGCGCAAGGCTTGCCTTCTTCTCAACTCTTTAAGAACTAGAAGAAGTGCAATTCTATATATACTCATCAAAACTCTTTTCCTCCTCCAATATGGGACAATGTCCCTTTGTCAAAAAGAAAAATTAAAAAAAAAATTATTTTTCCTTCCATTTCCCATTCGGTCTATTTTAAGCTATAACAAGCTTAAACCCAACACGATTGAGCCCAGCATGCTTGTATGCTAGAGTATAATTTGTACTAATTGTATCCTACACCATATGACAACGTTTTTGCAGTCCATAATGAGATTCTAGCTATATTTTTTGTTTATTAGGTGCTCAGACTGCAACAAGATGAGTTCTTTTGTAGTTCGAGGGGCTACAGGGCATATAGAAATATTTCCCATTTTTCTTTCCTTATCGTGCGGCATTGATTCAGCTTAAAGCGTATCTCTTGAATTCCTTCCACTCACTCGTATGTTATGTGATTGCTCGGTATCAGCTACGCTTCGACGAGTTGTGTTTTTTATGGATGAGGTGTGAGATGTGTTATCTGTATTTTGTTTTTGGGCCAGTCACTTATATGTACTGTAGTATCCCTAGGAGTGAGGTTTATGACTCGGTGAGCGGTTGGATGGCTATATGATGAATATTATGTGATTGAGGACTATGCTTAGATGATTTGGATGGGACGAGAAGAGTTTGCTTTAGAGGTGAAAAGGATTATGGGTGTTTGATTTCTGTCTTGATGTGTTGTACAGTCTCAAGTTATGAGTGTGTTGAGGGATCTATCAGTTGCTCATTTGTGGAGTGAAGTAGATTCTTATGTCTTGTTGACAGGTTTAGGTTCGGGAGGATTTAGCGATTGCATAGTGGTTGCGACAGTGATGAGGGTCATGGAGGGATGCTAGTTTGAGGCTAAGCAGGTGGGTTATCACCTGAAGGGTAGTCTACAGATATGTGGTTCTTATGATGTTTTGTTTAGAGTTTCTTTCTATCAGTGGGTTATATGTGTTGCAATTTGAGTTTAGATCGCTTGAGGAAGTTGGCTTGACTGTCATAAGGATGAATATGGGTTTAGCAGATGATTTGAGGTATTTTATGATTAGTGCTACATGAATTCATTAAGGATTTGGCTGAATTACAATGCGGGATTATGACAGTTAGGGAATAAAGGTATTGTGGGTTATCGGATGATGTGTTTTATGATTTTGAGCCAAGTGAGGGAGTCTACTATCGACGATCAAGTTGCGTGATTATGTGCTACATTAGTTTCGGCCTGAGGCATGTTGTGGATCAGTTATGACTTGAATAGGTTGGTTTTGAGGATGACTTGAGTAAGAAATATTTTGGATGCATGATGTATTACACTTTATGGATATATAGAAATCTTGAAATGATTTGGGTTTTCTATTCGTGATGGATGTAATATGCAAAGAAAAGGGAGTCGCTCAGTTATGTTAAGTTGGGGTTACTTCTTTGGGGTGTTTATGTGCTAATGTAGCACAGGTCGTTCGGCCCATTCGGACCGTACATTTGAGATTAGAATATGGTGGATGACTCTCGAGAAGGATTAATGGGTTCAAATTTCATATGTGGCATTTGAGGAATTTCTGAATTTGTAAATGGCTAAGATCTGAGTTTACATTGGATGGTGTCGAGACTCGCGATATTTCTGTGTCATTATGGATTCTATATTTCAGTATTAGAGAGGTTAAGGAAACAATGTCAGATTCACATAAGGTCTCTTCAGAGTGGGTATCTCGAATGTAGTATTTTTGGGTACCTAAGAGGGTATACAGTGGCTTATGGGCTTTAGGACGATGAGGTTTCATGCTAGGATCTCTTGTAGCGAGCTTTGGGTTAAGGATTGTATTGTACTGCAAGGAGAAGTGTTAACTTGAAGTCAATTCGGAAGGAACTCAGAGAAATAGGACAGCTTGGTGGTAGATTGGATCAGCATGGTAACGGATATGATCGGTTCTTTTGGATCTTATGATGTGATGAGACCTTACCGGTATTTTATGGCAATACTCTTGGGTTTGGTGACCTACATGACTTGGTTGAGTTAGAGGTATGAGTTCTGATGGCTTGGTGTTGTGCTAATGGATTTCGAAGAGTTCTCGATGATTTTGACCACGGCTTGGGGTAGATGCTTTCTACAGGAATGAGGGTTGTGTTGCGCATAGTGATCTTCTCCTGGATGGGGTCAGGTGGAAAGTTCTTGGCTGATGGAATATGTATTATTTGAAAGAAAGTTCACCACAAGAAAAATCCAAGTGTTGTAAGATCTTCTGTCTTTCACATTGTAGCATCCCACCAAAATACTGAACTCTTGCCTAAAATAGTATGCACAATTGAAGCATCTGAAAATTGGATGAAACAGTTGTGTGAGACAATTACTGCAGCTAAATCTCATTTGGCAAAGAGTAACAAATCATCTTCAAAGCTCAAATGAGTGATCTCAAATGTTGCAAATCTAGGATGAAACTTTAACTCTTTATCTGACTCAAGTTCATTCAAAAGTTTACCTAAATACTCCATGGCTAGTGCAAATAAAAAGGAAGACATTGGATCTTCTTGCCTAAAATAAAACGGCTTTTCATGAATGTCTCTTGTGATCGATATTTAAAAGTCAAAATTAGGTGAGATACAAAAAGAAATCTAAGTGAGAAAGATAAAATACAAGAAAAAAGTGATAAAATCTTTTAGCCGTTATAGATATCAATTGGGGATCAAATAGTTGGAAAGTGAAATCAATATATGATATTATTATTATTTTTTTAAAATTTTTATTAAGCCATTCGCTTAAAAAAACCGAGTCGAAGTTTTAAATATTACTCCCTCCGTCCTAATTTATATAAAATTTATGTAAATGTGTTTGATTCGCCATAGAGTATAAGAAAAAAAAAATTTTTGAAACTTACGGTCTAAAATAAGCAATATATATTTGTATGTTATAAATGATCTCATTAAAAAATAAAAAATTTAATATTAAATTATTTCTAAATGTGAAAGTATGATATTTTTCTAATATCGACTAAAAAGAATATGACACATAAATTGGGGCAGGGTAAGTTCAAAATAAAACGCATAAGAAAAACTTTGATTGATAAATACATTCATTTTTAGGACCTTTGATAATGTTTTTATTTAAAAATAATATTTTTTCTTCTCCATTTATGTCTCTCAACTAAAAAAAAAAAAAAAAAAAAAAAAAAAAAAAAAAAGGAGAGAAAGAGAGGAACTCCCACCGATGCAAAAGCTGAAGCTGTGAAAAGGCACCAAGTCCACCGAAACTCTCCAATTTATTGTTCCATTCAAGGTAATTTCATGCCTCAAATCATAGATAATTTGTAGAATTTGTGATGAGTAAGATTTTGACCTAGGTATTGAAATTGGGGATTTAAAAAATTGCAGCAGTTTCTTATGTGTTTATTGACAGATTTTCCTTTGGGTTAGTGATTTTCAAGTTATTTTCTCTTCAGCGAACTTCCATTTGTTTGTTACATGCGAAGAAAATTTGTAAAAGGAAAATTTTAACGGAAATGCCGAATTCTTCCTACCTAAAATTTTATTTTCTCTCTACAGTCTCAAAAAAGTTTAGGCTGAAATCCTTTTACTGGACATACAGAAAACATCGAAAACATGTACTTAGAGAAATAAGACATTTGTTTGTAACAGCATTACTAAACTTGTGGTTTTACAGGTATGCCTAAGAGAAAGAGGTATCCTCCTAAGAGTCGATCTAGGCCAACTCAAATTCAACGTGATACTCAAAATCAATCTGAAGGACAAAGTCTTTCACAAACTCAGGATGAAGCCGAAAATCCTCTGTCCACTTACAAGAGAAAGTCCAATAAGTATTGGATAGTTGATGTGATTGGTATATAGTTTTAAATTTTAAAGTTTTGGTGTAATTGGTTTCATTGACTAATATATTGGATACTAATAATAGATTGATTGACTTTGCATGTTAGATGAGGAGGGAGTTGTAAAGGAAACAAATTTGCGGGTGCAAGACATGTTTGTACTTCCTATGGGAAAGAAGGTTGTCTTGGAGTGGAATAATCGCAACCAACCAGTTGGAGAGTCAGCTGGCCTTTTGGGAGGATTTCTAGGTTCAATTGCAAGCAACTTTGAATATTTTCCCATTGGTTTTGAGAAATGGCCTAAGATTCCAAAACCATACAAGGAACACGTTTGGACTAACACTATAAAGGTAGTATGAGATATAGTTAACTAACTAGATATGATTTATTATTTGTTTTATTTACTAACCTTTATTTTATTATGTTTGTCTTGAAGCCAAAATTTCAAGTAAATGATGAGATGAACAAGAAGTATATACTCGGAAATATTGGGAGGAAATGGAGGGACAAGCGGATTAAGTTATTTGATGAAAATTATGACCCATCACTTGGTAAGGATGCCAATATTGACTTGCCACCGGCTGGGATCAGTAAAGACCAATGGGCACTTTTCTTGAACTATAGATTGAATGAGAAAACTATGGTAATAAGCATACATTGAAAATGTTCTAGTAATAGGTACAACTTTTTTAAACTTTCTTGTTTTTGTTAATAATGCAGGAGATTTCTTGTAAAAATCGTGTAAATCGACAAAAACAAACTGTTCCTCATATTCTTGGGTCGAGGTCAATAGCTAGAACGATGCATGAACTGGTATAGTTAATCTATTCGTTGACCTTTGATAATTTTATAAAAAAAGTTATTTCATGATGTTACTAATTCGATACAAAATGCTAGGAAATTAAAGCCGGGAGACCTTATACTAGAGGGCAAATGTATTCTATTGCCCACAAGAAAAAAGATGGGTCTTTTGTTAATGATGAGGCTAGGCAAAGGAGTGTAAGTACAACATCTTATTTATGGGTTTCTATAGTCATTGGAATAATATTAGTTAATTTGCAAGGACGATTACATTATTAATGATATATGCAGGAACAATTAAATATGCAGGCAGATGGGACTTCTTCTGAAGCAGATACCTATATAAATGTCTGGGGGAAAGAACACCCAGGACGGGCTCGAGGTATGGGATTTGGTGTATGCCCATCTCAGCTCTTCAGATCCACTTGTAGTTCTGGAGGATCGCCAGTGTCTCCATCCAGTGGTGTCCCATCAAATACTGAATGGCAAGCAATGAAATTAGAGTTACAAGAGAGTAAATCAAAGGTTAAAGCGTTGGAGTCAGAATTGCAAAAGAGTAAATCAAGATTTAAAGTTTTGGAGGATCAGATGTCTTATCTTTATCAAAACTTTGCGGGTCAAAGGCCGCTTGGTTTTCCTAACTCTACTGCTAATCAGGTAAACTCATGTTTTGACTTGGTGGATGATTAAACTCTTTAAGTTATTCCTTATAAATGTTCACTACTTCTGCTTTACACTTTTGAGTTATGTGAACTTATGCTGTGTTGAAGTTTGTATTACAATGAACCCATTGGAAGAAGACTCTCAATTAATTGATCTTGAGAAATTATCAGCTCCAGTGAAACTACTAACTTAATTTCATCATCTTACAGAGTAAGACTAAGAAGATTTACTTCAGTATAAAAGAAGTTACTAGAGCAGATTAGTTATTGGCTATTCTCTCTTTTCTTTTTTTTCTTTTTTCTTTTT